AGAATATTATCTCAACATCATAAACACATGTGCAGTGGGACTGCAAAAGCATTTATTTTTCACACTATGTGCTGTGGATTAATTTAAAACAGATGAATTTCCATTTATACTTCGCAATTTAGACCGATATACACTGACACTATAAACATTTAAAATCAAATTAAGAATACGACTAATTATTTGAGCGAGAGTTAAAAACATTAAACCTACTTTGATTTTTGAGAGACATTTTTATTACAATCTTTAACGAGGCAAAACCTGATTGATGTAGAAATAAATACTCTGGCTAATATAAAAATTTTGAGGATCAGAATTTAATTTTGAAAATGCTGTTTGAGAGTCAGTTCACATCTGCAAGGACCCTAAAACATGTATGTCTAAACAATAGCACAGCTATTAGTTTAATTAGGTTATCAAGTCACTGCTAACCTTATCGCTGTGCTCCATGAACTCTGCCAAGTTGAGCAAAGTCTGTGTGACTTCAGCAATGTCTTGAGATGTGAGCGCTAACTCAATGCTGCGGATCAGCTCATCCTGCTGGTCCTCACTCAGCTCAGACCAACATGAGAGGAAAGCTGCATTGAACAAGTCTCTGGGGTCAACAAAAACAACATATTGCCATTAAAACAACATTAAAATATTCAAGTATTTTGCAGTAGCGAGATCATTCTAAAAGTTGTAAAAATGATCACAGAATAAACAGGTGTTTGTGCTTTTACACAGCTTTTTTTTTTTTTAGCATTTTAGTAACTCTGCTTTTCATACAGCTACATACAGTCACCTTTGACATTGTCAAGTTTGACCAGTTTTGCACTACTGATAACTGAGAATCTTTTGGCAGTAGTGACAGAGCTTCAGATTTTATGTACATTCTTCATAAGGAATTATGTTTGCATTTACCTGGCAAGAGGGATGTAGGTCTGAGCCAGTGACCAGCACGAGCGCAGAGCTGGGGAGGATGACTCTTTGAGCAGGACAACACTCAAGCGCCTCAGCCACTCCAGCCAATCATCTTTGGACACCTTCCTGGCAGCTCCCCAAGCCTTTCCAGTGTCAGAAATCATCAATTTCAGAACAAATATGTGGACGCAAAGTTTTCACATGTAATGTGTATGGGATAATCTGACTATAATGTAAGCTGTGAGATTTTTTTTATTATTATCTTGATGATGGTAGTGAACAGCGCTGTGTAATTTATCGGTCCACAGGCCAGTCTGACACCACTCTGTAAACTATCATCAAATCAGCGGGTAATCCTTTGTTTTCTGCAGTCAAATATACGCACTGATTGTGGTGTTCTGCTCATATGACGACGTTGTTCCATTAATTTATCACCAGTTTGTTGACTCATACATCCTCACCACAATTGAACTACGGCTTTCAGCACTGCTTGCTGTACACAAATGAAACACCTGCCACACTGCCACCGATATAAACATTGGACGTGTGCGTGTCTTTAATCATGGGGGGAAAAAAATGCCAACTGTTCCTTCCAACCTTCTGGAGTGCAGTAGTGCTGACGTGGAGCTTCTTCATAGGCCCCGCCTCTACTGGTCCGCTGACCAAAGCGTCACCTTGGTTACCACGAAGCTGGCGATGCTGGAAAATTAGAGGGTCTTCTTCCTCCTCTGCCAGAGTATAGCCCTGATAGGCACAAAAACAAACATAAACAAACACATGCAGGCCACACACATGCAGGCCACACACATTCAAACTGTTGAGCCGAGTCCCAAAACACGTTTTATGAAAGTAGAAGTGCATTTCCTTCCTGAGGGACTGTTGATAAACAAGACATGGTAATGACTTGCTTATGGTGCACTGAATATGAAATGTTTATTTATACTTATGTAATTTATTGCCAGACCATGTGAGGTCACCTTGTGCCATGTGACGTTATGAAATAAAAGACTGGCAGCTCACAGATAATCTACGAGACGTGTGAAAAATGTGTAGTAATAATCTGGATTTACTGGCGAGCCATACCTTGACAATCCGACATATGAGTATGTCGTAACGCTGGTGGTTGATCCTGTGCTTTAGCATCACTTTATTCACCATGGGGATGAAGATCTGGTACTGAAAATAAGAGGAGAGAGGAAGGATAAACATAAGGGTGTATGTGTGTCTGGAGACCGCTTTCCCTTCACCATAAAGTAAATAACTGGGTGTCCTGCACTTGTTTCTAACCTCCATGAACCTCAGATCAAAAGCTTCCCCTACACATTAACGACACGGGGTTTGAGGGATAAGGGAGGGGAAAGCTTGAGAGGACAGGCAGGGGTAAATGTGACCTCATCCGCTCCTGTAAACACCACCCCATGCTGCGTAATGGTCAATGACATCAGCAGTCTGGCAGGAAGTAATAAAACTAAGGGGGGGGCAGTGCATGTGAAGCCAACAGTAGGAAGACTGGAAAAGTACAGTTAATAGTATCTACAGCTAAAAGACAGCCCGGGGGACAGCTCTGGTTACCTTCTTGCCCAACTGGAATACGAGCGAGGACAGGGTGTCCATGGAAGTGGAACGCAGCTCTGGAGTGGTGTCAAGTGTCCGAACGATCGGGTGGATAATGCGTGAAGCGTAGTCTGTGAAGTCCAGGGACTCTGTCAGTCGGTCCAGTGTCTCCAAGGCAACCCTGAGCCACAGAGGAAAAACAAAGGACGCTCAGCTTTACTGAAATGTTTGTAGGACTTAGAGACACAGCCTGCTCCGATAGCCAAGAAGTCATGTGAAAAATCTGACATCGCTGCCAGATAGATTCTTTAATAAAAAACATACACATAAAAATGTTTAGCTTTGTTCTTTTCCCCCCTCTTTTAACCACAGTGATGGTCTAATTTTAATTTCCCATTTCTGTGGTGACATCAGATTGATGCTAAATACATTTTTATTTGCAAAATTAAGTGAGAATGACTTTTATTATCACACTAGATTCCTCACTAAAACTACGGGTGTAGCGCTTACTTGCGCGCCTGCAGGGGCACATCAGGGGCATCAAAGAGCTTGACAATGGGAGGCAGCAACAAGTGGAGGTAGTCATCTAGGTTGGCACCAAACAGCTGGATGGCATTGAGTAGCTGAAAAGGACAGCACACATTCCTTAATTCCACATACTGCAGCACTTAAACATGAGCGGCTTTAATGAGCTTGTAAATGCTTTTCTTCAGGAGCTCTGAAGGGAAAGCCGAATGGCATTTTATTTCAGCAAGGTGCTGGCACACGAGCCAGCGTATCCAGGAAATCTGTGTATAGCTGTTAGCGAATGAGTGAGCATGAATCTGTGCCTTCACAGGATGCAAATCATAAAGTCAAATACAAACATTACATTAGTGGGTTTTGGGGGGTTAAACATCAATTTTACCTTCCTTAAAATTGATGTTAGTTTCATGACCTACCTCTGCTTGGGGCTTTTTGTCAATTTTAGATTATTAATCTACATATCACCAATGACTGTATATCTTCTATTATTAGTGAGTACAGTCATGTTTACTGCATACAAATTCCAACATTAACTAAATGGCATTTTTTAAGAAAGCCTCACAGTGCCTTAAGGTAACAGTAAACATGGTGTTGTGTGGCGCATGTGCACACAGGCTTGGTGGCTACATGGTGGTCTTAAAGGATGACGTCTATTGAAAGCATCAAAATTACCCCAGCCCCCCAATACATACCATGACCGCCTCTGCTTTTTCCCCACTCTCCAACCCCATGTCTAAAGTGCACACGGCGAGACAGCAGGAAGTTGAGTTGGAGGTGTACAAGTGTGTGTATGTGTGAGCCTAGAAGGGTGGGGGTGGAGCTCAGGGGAGAAGGCTTCTTGAAATGATGGAAGTATGTTTTTCTTCACCTCTCCTGTAGACAAGCAGGAAATCTGATTCCCACTCCCCTCATTTCATGACCCCCATGCTGCGCTAAAGATCAGGCTCCAGACACAGACCTGAGTTACAGACAATCCAGATTGTGGGCTGCTGAATTATACTATACTACAGACTTTGAAACTAAACAGCACCAGAGGAGAGAAGACTAGATGACTGTGCTCTCCACGATTCCGTGTTTGTGGTCTCCCCGTAAATCGTGATTTAGGGTTTGAGGGAAAACCCTGACAACTACTGGCTGCCGCTGCTGAAACAGGAGAGTGTGTTACTTATAGGTCCGTGCTGTCTTTGAACCGCTGTATTACGAGCAAGTGGCTTAGACCTCAAAAGGTCCTGATGGATATTGATGGAAGCCACAAACATAAAACACCACCCCAATAAATCAACTGAAGGCTGAGCTCCTGTACTTTCAGTATGAGTGTAGAGTGATGTGAGCTTAAATTATTAAACCTAAACTAATGCTAGCAAAACAAAGTCATCTCGTCATTCTGACACAGGCCCTTTTCAGTCTAGTTAATATAGTTTCTCCACTAGATTTATGACAAGTTTTACTTTGACTCAGTGCAACTCGCAAAGAAATCTATTACAAAACACAGATTCAGGGTCGTGCTACACTGAGACATTCATAATGGAGGGGTTTTTTTGTGGCCATTGCTAATTTTTGACAATAAACTTTCATTATTCTGTCTTACAGGATCCTTATATCTTCATGTTTTCACATTTTCAGATCCATTTTTTAAGGACACAGCATGTGTTGAGTACAACTTTTAACCAGGCCATCATTATACATCATTATACAAACTATGGTTTGAGCTGCTGGTAGACGTCAGCCTGAAATCTAAAAGTTAGTGTGTCGCTAAAAGCAGAGAAAACTGCAAACAGCCTGTTCAGACTGCTATTACCAAGGTATTATCTATTTCTTGTAACATTACAAGAAATGTAATGGTAAATTACTAGTTAGTGTTTCCCTGAGAGTATGAATGTGTATCAGGGAGTCTATGAAAGAAAGCTTTCTGCACTGCACTAAAATGTTATTATTAATGAAGATTTTAGGACTTTGATCATTCTGAATATACAATAAGTGAAACAACATAATTATTCTGTCTTAATATTTCTCTCGTGTTGTCTTATGCTATAAATTCTGCACAACACTTTCCTTCACTGTGGCACTCTTTTCCTATCTGATAGCAGTATAAATCACCAGAGATGCTGAAATTCATTTGGAGAAAGGTGAAGGGATGACAAAGCCTGCTGCTGTATTTCTTCCCTGCCCCCAAGTTAAGAGAACCCTCAGCATGTAATTCCACACAGGGTTCAAATCGTGCGTGGGAGGGTGTCAGACACAAAAATGAATAGGGCCAAAGAGGGCCCTTTGTCTGTGACGGTTCTCCCTGCTGGTTTGCGTGGCTGCTCTTTAAAGCACTTGAGGGGAAGTGTGGCTGATGATAATCAGCAGCACTGGCAAAACTTTGGCCCGGTGTGCCAGTCCTCCTCCAAAAAAAGTTTCCTGAAGATCAGTTGCTGGCGCGCGATCCTCTAGACATCCATTTTGCTTTTGGTTGGCATTTGGTTTTTATTACTGACTACACCACTCGTGCAATCACGCACTTCTCAAGTTTCTTTCTTCTGAAAGAAAATGTATTATGCGCTTTTGTTTATAACAAAAAACACCAATTATTTAGAAAATGTCATTTCTCAAGGAGTCCAAAGGGACAAGAAATACAAATACAATGTCTTTCCAACAAATGCATGATATCTCAAGAGTTTACTTAATTATTCTGTTTACTAATTACATCACAATATCTCGCATAATACCAAACTAATCATGATCAACCAGTTAGTCTTAATAAAGCACCTGGCTTTAACCACTGATTTTATTCAGTTACAGAGTTTAACTTTAAATCTTTTGACTTACTTCAGTTAAACTAAGTATGATCATACTTTTATATATTAAAAAAATCTTTCCAGCACCCTTTTTGCTTTAATATAACTGAGATTTATGAGGGTACTTTCCTGTTTATCCTTATCTGTGCTGGGCAAGTTACCCAGAACTGCATTAGTAACTACAGCCTTCAGAAATGGCTCTTTCGGACATTACTAAAGTCACTACAGAAGAAAGTAATAATGTTACAATGATGTTACTAAAAATTAAATAATTTGTTACTACTCAGCAGTAATCCTCAGGAATCAATGCTAATTGCACTGCTAATAACTGATACAACAATGAGCACAATGGTGAAACAGACACTTAGCAAAGTGTGGGATTAATCAACTCTGTTGTATAATTAACAAGAAAAGCAGTACTGTATGTATGACCAAAATTATATTGTGATATAAAAGACCAATAGTAGTATGTAGTGATAAAACGTTTTTGTTTGTGTTTTTTAAGAATTTACTCTCATATTCTCAAGATGAGATCAAGGTAGAGATAAAAGTTCTTAAAACATAACAGCCCTAAAGGGAGTACGTGAGACTTTTCAGAATCTTCTGAGCTTCTTAAGCAGACGAGAAAATGGCAGACATTAAGGTAGGAGAAATATTCTCCAAATACTGAGTTAGAAACGCAGTGAAGCGCTACAAATTAGATTTCCCAGGAGAATGTCTCTGGTTGACATCATCATATCTTCCAGTTTACACAAAAATGTTATTCCCCCTGTAAGTATCAAAAAGATTCATTGGTATTGTAAATAAATATATGCAAATACAGCTACCAGTGTCTGCATTCTGTGAGTTGGCCTTTCAATTTCATGCAGACTTGTTTTTCTTACATATGTATTTTTGAGTAAACAATCACCAATCAGAATACGTACATCCTATTGATCATCTGGGTCACCCACAGTTTACTTTCTATTCGACGGTCAGTAGGTTCGTGAATACATTCCCACGTTTGCAAACGGAAAAAAATATGTATGACAAAATACTTAATAGTCTCTTAAACTGTTACGGATTTTCTAACCACCTGTAGTTTAGAGTGTAGATGAAACTGGGATAGAATACAAAACTGCTTTCATTTAAACAAAAAAAAAAGGAAAAAAAAAGGAAAGTGAAGGCAACAGCGCTGGAAATAAGCTCTGGATTGCCAGTTAGAGAATGCAGAGCTCCAATGGAGGGATTAACAAGTACACAAACCACCATTTCTCTGATAACAACGCCCAAGGCACCATAGCAGGCATTTTGGTCTGTTTTTATAATTAAGGGTACTCAATTTAATTTTTATTTCACCAACAGCTCTGCACTCTGCAGAGCAAGCATTCATGACAACATTAACATAAGAAAACAGTACATTCTCTTGCTGCAACTACTAAATCATAATCCCTCGTACCAAAATGTAATCTCAACTACAGCTTTTAAACATCTATGTGTCACAGGCAATGCCGCGGCCTATAATTCTGGCACGGTAAGCTGCACGTAATTTCAGACACAAACCTGAAAAATGTTCTCGAAGATGCCAAGAAAAGCAAAAACAATATATTGATTTGTGATCCAGAATCTAAACAACTTTTGCAGAATTGGAAAAGTAATTAAAAGCTTTTTGTAAAATAAAAACACTGAAAATCTATCTTCAGCTGACTTTTTTCTCTTCTGTGTTATTAATTCCAGCTGTTGGACACTCCGCTACCCTTCAGTGTATGCACAGTAACTGTAAGCTCATAAAAATATGGGACCCAATGAACTACACAGCTTTAGTCTATTGCTGGCAAATCAGATACTGACATCGCATGTCGTCTGCAATTGCACCGCAGTGAACTCACCTTGATGGTAACACTGCGCCCGGTGCTGTTGTCGTGCATGAAGACACGTAGCATGTGTGGAATGAGCTGAGGGAGATAGAGCTTGAACTCTCCACCCAGCGCCACCACAATCTGCTCAATCAGGAGGATGATGGTGTTCTGCATGGGGTTGTTTGGTGTCCAGTATTCCTAAGGCACAGATAATGAAATGTTGGTATTCATTACATTAACTTGACACCCATTTTTGCTCATTATTATCAAAGCCAACATAAGTTACAAGATTGTACATTCTGATAAAGCCCTAATGGAGAGTATATTCAAACACACATTACAGAAATTCAAATTACTCTTAGACAATCAAATGCCAACGCTTTCTAATACTAATAGTATGTAATAACAAAATTACTACAGTACTAAACATCCACCTAAAAAAAGTTTTGATGCTTTGTAAAATGTAAATAAAAACAAAAACACAAGTCAAATATTTTATAACTCATTTAGATGAACACAGTGCAAAGACCACTGTGTGTTTGATTTGGTTGGCTCTTATTATTTATATTATATAAATTAATTTTATTAATTTTAATTAATTTTATTAATTTTTTATATTACCAAAAAATTGGGACAGGAGGAGCAACAGTGTGGAAAAAAAGGAAAAATGCTGTATTGTAATGCTAAAATTTTTGTGTAGGTATACAGAAGTAGGTCAAAATGTGCTTTATCAATAAGCTGAGTGAGAGACAAATGTCTGGATCAGTGTTCCCTCTGGAAATGCAAAACGTTCACGTGCTAGAGACACAAAGCGGGGGTCACAATACTGGATGGCAAGGAATGGAGACAGTTTCCTGTCAGCTGGGACTTACATCATGCCTCTGCGTGGATTTTGACAGTGTTTTGGAAAGTCTAGGTTTGACCACTGTGCACATTAAAAATATTAATAGCTGGAGTAGAGAAGACCTGAAGTCACACAATATATCAATCAGTCAATGGGCTTCAGCTGTGAGATTTGGCAAAGGCGCTTTGTCAGGGACGAGAGGTCTCAAGCAACCCCCAACTTCCTGCTTTCCCTGCCTGTGGCTGCTAACTAGAGAGGAAGTGAGAGTACGTCCTGAATGGCTATTCCAGCCCCCTCATCTGGATGCAAGAGCAGAACTGGAGCAAAAATGAATAGATTCTTTGTTTTACTTGCCATTTATTAACTCATAGGGACTGGAGGCGCAGTGGCCTGCTTCTCTCAATTACTTTCCACCAGGTGGAGTTGCGGCCATTGCAAAAGTTTCGGTAACAGTGTTACCAAGATTCCGACGCAAGGACAGTCATATGATATTTTGTGACTCTTTAAATGATTATGTGCTTGACATTGTGTTTGTGCAAGTGCAGGCAGGGGCTATGGCTTTAGCAGTTGTTCCACATCATGGGATAAGTGTGAGCGTCATGAGTCATCGGCAGTTTTTCTCCTAAATATTATTTGAATAACGTGAGTGGAAACGTACATCGGAGCCACATGCAGTGCCACAGTTAGAAGGTGAACAGTGAGTGACAATAAAAGGAAGAGTAAAAAGAACATCTCTAAATATACATAACTTCTTATTTTCTCTGACTCACAGTTTCTTTAATCTTGTTAAGTACCTCACTACACACAATGCATACTGCTGTGTGACATGGGGCAAGACTTCATGCAGAGGCCTTAAACACATTACTTCTAATGAGGAAAGTAGAAAGCACAACTGAGTGCAATTAACAGTTCTTAGCTGTCAGCCTAACTCAAAGGAAAATAAAGAAGGGCTGCATAACGAGTGTTTAGAGATTGGGTTGAAACAGTTACTCACTCTGATGAGGGTGAAGATGTCATCCATATAGGGACGGATGTGAATCTTCACAAAGCACACAACCATTCCCATCTGCTGAAAGAGGAACTGGAGGAAGACAGAAGACAGAGTCTAAGATCTGCTTTGTGAACAGCTGACAAAATAAGAGAAATGCCATAATGAATCTGTCAGGCAGTCTCTTTCCTCTTAATCCACACAACAGCTTACCTCTCGGATACTGGCATCACAGACCCGAATGACATTGAGAAAAGTGGGCATGACCTGAGGCAGGAACTGGACGCACTTTAGGCCCAAAGATTTGAAGATGAAGGTGACCGCCTGGACTACCATAGTGTGGTGGTTGGAGAGTGATGGGTCTCTCAGGATGCGCATCAAAGTGACGATTGCCACAGCAGGGTAAAACTCATCCAGGGGCAGGTTACCCATGTTCACCAGCATTTCACTGGTGCTATAGTCAGCTACAAAAAGAGGACAGTGAGGTTGGTTAGTTTGAATGATGCTGTCATATAAACTATATAAACTATAAAATAAAAAAATAATGATGCAAGAATCTTTTGTGCCATCTCTCCTTCAGTCATACTGATGGAGCAGTTGATGAATGTGACAGTTGTGAGTGGCCATGCTTAAACCCTAGAAATATTTAGTAATTTGCCAAATATAAATCTGATGAGGACATTCTTTCGTCGTAATCACATAATATAATTTCAGCCTGTTGTACAACTTTCAGTCAGATGCAATAAATTGCTCAAATTAACTGCAGTGACTGCAGGATCTAGTTAGCGCTTTAGTCAAGGTTTTACCATTAAGGTAAAAGAAAAAGATGGAATCTCTTCAGCATTTAGTAAATCCCCTCATTCAGCTTAATGAGATCTTAGATTTGCTGGAGACAGTAGGAAACCTAATACTTAAAGTTCTTCCAAAAAATAATCAAAATTTTGTCACAACATAAAGTAACATTCAGCACCTAGGCACTGCCATCACCAGTAAAATATGTACCAGTTTCCATTCCTAATAGATCCAAGAGCACAAGGAGCTGTGTGAGGGTTGCTGAGAATAAAAGATCACGGGGTTTGGGGGTTTTATTAGTGCATTAGTTCCATTAATATTTTTGTAATAGGGAATACAAAGCAGCTCTCGTCGTCCATTTATCTTTGCGGGGCTATTAAATTTTACAAGGCACCTGAGAATACAAATGTGTGGTATTCAGCCTTTTACTACTGTTTCAGCTGCTTGAATGTCTCCCCTTAGACGCCGAGGACTAAAAGTTAGTTTTTTAATATTTCAGTATTCACCAAGTCAAGATTCACGATGGTAATAAATGATAACAATCTGTATTTATCGGCAAACAAACAGGCATTAGTGTAGCCAAGTGAAGCAAGAGTAGTGTAATAATTCAGGTGAATGGGACGAATAGGAACTGTTAACTATTCCTAATAGCATGTAAAAAATATAGCAACTCCCAAGGGGACATGAAGCGTTTCATCACTTTTATGACTGTTGTGTTCTGTAATGATCTGACTGGTCTAATTTAAAGTCAGGTGAGGAGATGGAACTAGACAGTCAACTCCCAGAAACCTACAAAAAAAAAAAAAAAAGTGGTCCGAGATACTAGTGTTTCAGACAGTGACCCTAACAAATCAAATTCGCCAACAGATATACGACCTCCAGTTCTGGTCACAGTCTACTTAGCTGGAGAACAAACTGGTAAAACCATTACCATACTGTCCAAGGTCATTCTGAGACACATGACTGGATCAGACGAGTGGAGATCTGCATTTTCCACACACGAGGCGTGTGACCGAAGACAGATGTGCATTATTAGAGAAATTCACAATATCCAGACCGTTTTTGATGCACAACCACCAAGTCGTGTTCTGAGAGTTTTATCATACTCAGAGAAATAATCCAAGAGTTTAAAGTAAAACCCACTACGAGCAAGAAAAACATTTTTACATCTTTTGTTACTTCTAACAGATAACATAGGGTATATTAAGATCCACCCACATTGTGTTTAGCACTGTTATTCAAAAATCTGTCAGCTGGGTTAAGATCAATGTCATTAATCCTGTTTTGGACATATTGTTTATTGCAACAAACATATTGACCAAAAAGCCTTTTAATAGGCAATGCTGAGTTATTCAGCTGATATGGTAATACATTTACGCAAATTCGGACTGCACCAGTAATCCGTGCACCCCGTAAAGAAAAAGAGTGACGTATATCACTGATATTCTATTAAACAGATGCTTGAAATCTGTCTAAAGTGGGTCACATTAAATTTAATATCAGCACTTCAAAAAGTCCTACTCCAGTTGTGGTGCTTATATTTCCCTCCAAACTGGCAGACTCTTGTTCTGAAGGATTTTTAGTTGGGTTTAGATCAGACAGCAGCCAGATATAAGATCCCAAAGAATAAAAAACTCCCACAAAAGGCAAACCCAAAGCCGCTGATGCTGTTGACTTTTCAAATACAAGGGCAAGACCTTAAAAGATTGTGTTTTGTCTTGTCGGCGTAGACATATCTCCTCCCTGCACTCCATTTTAAATGATTTGTAGATTTATTAAATGTAAAACAGCCAATGAGTAAAGCATAATCTTCAGTGTTTTTTCAAAAGACAGTTTCACTGGCTTTATGTGGGCCCCAGGGCAGCTGTGGCTACAACTGTAGCTTGCCTCCACCAGTGTGTGAATGTGAGAGTGAATGAATAGTGGAATTGTAAAGCGCTTTGGGGGTTCCCGAAAAGCGCTATATAAATGCAATCCATGATTATTATTATTATTATTTATGGGAGCCAGATTCGGCAATTCCTAAAACTGTAAAACTGAAGATGAAATCGGTTCCTCACTCGAGGGATCACATTCTGACCTAAGAAAAACTGCTGCGTGGCATATTTAAATCACGGCAATTTCTGGAGCACTGACCTATAACTACATCGAGATGATGATTTTACGTGCACACATGATTGCATGGTGTCACCCAACAGCAAGAAGGTGCCTGACTGGAGCCTTTCTGTTTTAATTCAAAGTCATCATCAACTGGGTACTGTGAGGTAAAGATCCTACAAAATTAGAAAGAAAAAGCCAACCATCAGACATATGAGCACACAGTTGGTGATGATGGAAAGAAAGGGGGTTGTCTAACACAACCAGCTGTGACGCAAAGGGCACAACACCAACAATGAGAGAGAGCCCACAAATAAAGATCATAATGTCTCATCAATACGAACAACTCTGCGATTAAAAGTAAATGACTAGAGCGCAATCTGGAAGAAAATACCCAAAACTCTGACTGAAGAGTCAAACAACATTATGATAAATGCAGTAAACGCAGCACAAAGCTACAATAACATCAAGTCTATATACAAACTCTTGACAACACTATTCATCAGGCTCATAATGCAGACTCACTAAAATTACAGCAACAGTCCCAAGTTCCACTGTGAGATGTGAAAATGGGTTCGTGCTCATTTAGAGACTTTCCAGCTGTTGTACTGCAAATACTGCTGTAAGTCTGAGGAATGCAAATAAAAAGTTAATCTAATCCACACTGTGACTCTTGGTGAAAAAAACTGTCTGTATTAACAGTAATCTGAGACCTACCCGAGTCCTGACTGGACTTGGACTCTGAGAGACTGACAGCAGAGGCATCTCGGGACTGGTCGATCATGCCGATATTCACCTTGTGTTTGTAGGGATCCAGGGCTCCAAGAAGCCCCAGAACACGTATAGCCTGTTGGAAACACAGAGTTAGTGGTCCCTCACAGGAACACAAAATTGAGTATATACCTGGTCATTTTACATAATCTATGTCAAAAGTTCACCAAATTTGGTACCTTAGCTGAGTTTCAAATATATAAGGAAGCTATAGAAAACGAAGTATTCATGGAAAATGGACACTAACAAAAAGTGCTACAGCCAAATAGTAAGAGTGGTTTGAGAAGCTTCTCACCATATAAAGTGAGGGAAGTGCATTCCCTGCACTTTTAACAATATCGTATGTAAGAAATTAAACAATGACAATTTCCACTCCAACTTTTCACATCAAAATTTCCATATATTTATGGAAAATGTGCTTTGCTTCATGCTACATGTCCATATCATTGTAATTCACCAAATCCAATGCATCTACAGAGATCTACACATTAACTCAATGCATGCTGTAAAGTGGTTTCAAGCCTTGCTGGCCTATGAGGTTCCCATTACTACGGTGGGGGAAACGTAAGGTGATCGGCCCACATGGCACAACATTTATTCATACCTCTCTCCTGATGCCCTGGTTTTGTTCAGTCTTGAGGAAGTTAAGCAGCACCTCTAGAAGGGACGGGTACTTGCGGTAGGGCTCCACCACATAGCCTGTACTAGCTACTTGCTGGCCCAGTGTCCACAGAGCCACCTGGTGGAAAGTCAGAGACAGTCATTAACTAATCATCAACAAGAAAAGAGTATACCGTCTGTATTTATTTTTTAAGTTGTTCCTTGTGTACCTGTCGCTTGGCCAGTGATGATGAGTCCTGCAGCATGTCCATAATAATTGGGAAAAGCTCATCCATCCACTTCCTCATCTCTAGGCCACTCACCTGACGGGGCAGAGAAAGAATCAATCAAAACTACAGAAATTTTATAAATTAGCCATTTTCTGTAGAATCACCTAAAGCCAAAAGGGCACTGTTATAAGAACTCGTAACATTTTATAGATAAACTGAAGTGCACAAAACTCAAGGAAGCTACAGTGAAAAATAATAGAAGCTAATATTAAAGCTATTAAATAAATTATTTGTCAGAGAATCCATGTGAAATTCTCAAGTCCATGTATATTAGGAACCACCATCACTTACCAAATGTACAATTTATTTTTTTAAATGTGCTTTCAGGCTGCAGACAGATTGTTTTCAAAGTAACATTTACTTTCTGTTATCTGTACTCCCTACATTCTCATGCATCTTTGCTTTGTCTGGGTTCCCGAACAGCTGGGCTTCTGTCTCATCCTGCACTGAGTCTCCCTGAGCATCTCCCGCACTCTGTCTGAACTTCAAAGGCCCTTTAACTGTGACTCCCTGACTGCTTTCAGGGGACCATTCAAGCACCTGGTCAGGGTAGAGCAAGGCAAACATCTAAGGGTAAGAGCCTGCAATTACCTTCAATCTCAAGACAAGCTTGGATTTACATTGAAAACTACCCAGATTAAAGATGTACATTTTTTTTATAATTAATTGTGTACAATGGACAATAAATTCTGCTAAGATTTATCTAGTTGCAGTAAACAGCCGATTTATAATTACAAACAGAGTAAAAACAGCCTTACCTGAGCCAACTCGCCAATGGTTGCAAGGACACTAATGACTACTCCAGGGTTAGGGTCTGGGTCTTTAAGCTTGAGGATGAGAGCCTAGAAAAATTAAAAGCAATGTGGTCATTTCCTCATATACTTTGAAATCATTACTTATTTGAAGGCCCATGGAAATGAGGATGTAATGGACCTCAGCTTTTACTTATTAGCATAGGCCTACTGGGAACACGAAGCCCCTTTCAGTCTGGTTTAGATTCATACACACTTATCCAACATTACAACGGAGAACTTGCAAAGCAGTACCTTGAGGATGGGTTCCATATAAGGACGTATAAGTCGGGGCGCATTGGAGACCAGGTGACCAAGCATACGAGCACTCTGCTCTTTGTTCCTGCCGACACCGCTGTGCTCCAATTCTGTTAAGATCTGCAGAAAAATGATAATGTTAGCACAGCACATGCACTCATCTTCATCTGGAATACATTTAATAAGCTTAAGTCGTGGAAAACACAAAGGCATTTAGACAAAAATCAATTGTGACTTTGTACTACAGAGGTGTGTGTGTGTGTTTTGAGTTTTCAGCTTAGCATAATATCATGGCCTTTGCTGCCCCCTAAAGGTATCCAACTGAAACGCAAGCAGGTAATCGTCACAAGAAAATGATGAATGTAGAAGCCAAGCGTTTGCAAAACTGTTGAATACTTGCATGCCATCTTTGGCATGCAAGGAATCCTAATGAACAAATTTAATGGTTTAAATAAATTAAAACATTATGTCTAATGCAATAAATAAAACTCGTATTGAGCCATAACTGTGCCTCTCATACCTGGATGAGCATCTTGCGTAGGAAGGGCATAACAAAGGCAGGGTTCATGCTGCTCAGGCGTCCGATCGTGCAGATTGCCAGCTCTCTGATCTCAAACACCTCATCATTCAGGGCAACAAACAACGCCTGCAAGTTTTCAGCCTGGGCGAGGTGAGCATCAAAGCGTTCATCAAGTGACGCCAGCACGCAGTATCGGATGTCTGGATCTACAGGAAATCAGGGACAAAAATCAGACTGGCTTTCTTTATCACTTTTATTTTTTATCCGTTGCCATAATGGATCACTGTAGCTGTTAATAGTTCTGAAGCCTCACACCATAAAAGCAACAAAACAAAATAAATCTGCATAGTAATGCCGACTTCCTTTTCTGTGCATTTGTTACCTGGATCAGTGATGCCAACAACTAGCAGCTTGCTGAGAACATCTGCAACAACCTGCACAGCGGTCTGGCTGACAACATGGCCGCTGATCAGGTGGATGGAGGGAGTAAGCAGGCGTGAGCAAGTCCGAGCTGCCTCCATTCGGATTTCTTTGTGTTCGCTGTTCAAGAAGTGATCAGCACAGTGGCGCACAAACTGGGTGAGGGAATGTCCTGGGGAAAGACGTTCATGTAGAATAATCAAAATACAACTGCTTTTATTTTATTTTTTTTAGTAGTATTAATATCCTGGTAGATAATAACAGCATTTTTGTTGCTTATTTCATGTAAAACAAACAACACTGACTTGATTTATCCTATAATGGCGTTTCTTCTTCATTTGTCTATTTGGGATTCTAAAACTCAATACCAAGGAAGTCGGGTGGTTTATTTCAATGGAGACTGAATTACTTAACTAAATATCCAATGTTACCCCAGCTTTTGCGCTAAAATGCAAACCTATCCAGCAGTCTGCTGAGGAATGACACCAAAGACTGATCATTTTTCTCCCCAGTTTCTCTGCTGGAGAACAAAAAACTAGTCATCTCGGTGACAGGCTGAAGAGACGCTATTTATATCGACCACTGAAAGATGGGCACAGTCATCAGCACAACTGCCCCGGCCATTTCTGCAGTTCACATAATCATTTCTTTTGGTCCACATTTTTGTCACCGCTGGCGGCTCCAATGACTTACGAGTGACAGTTTAAGCCTAGTTTAAAAACATATTTCATTTTCAACTTCACTGCATGTGATATAGAGTGCATAGACAGCAAAACTGCACCACTTATTTCTTATGATCATTCAGGACAGTAATGCCACTACTCTCTAAATAATTTCTTCAGCAAGCCCAACTTATCACTGCACCCTTGCCCATTAGAACAGTATAATAAAAAAAATGGCTAGCTACAAAATGCAACGGATTGTTGGGTGAGGAGAGCAACAGCCATTCGGTATCGAGTTTAAATTCTTAACCTCTGTCTTTTGTTGTTGTTTTAATTTATATACCATTTCTAATTCCACTGTGTTTTCACGGTGTTCCTTTGGATTCACCGTTTTTTGCATTTTTGTGTTGCTTTAAATTCCATTGCTCTATTTTGCTTCTTCTAATTCTACCCTGGTTTTAATCCCATTGTTGTAAAGCACTTTGTAATTCTGTTATAAGTGCTAACGAAAAAACATTTGCTTGCTTGCTTGTGTATTACAATGCAACACTGTGCTGTGAAACACTGGGTCCTGGACTTTGACACATACTACTGACCTAAAATTTTATGCAGGAAAAGAATCCATCACACAGATATACGTTTTGTTTAAGGTTCTTACCTTCAAATTCAAAGCTTCCCAGGGTTCGCAAGGCCAGGGTGATGCTGCCAACATCACTAGCCTCTGGAATGTTAGTGAGGCTTGGTGACGCTAGCTGGTGAGCCAGGCCTTTGGGCATGCCAGGGTGACGCAATGGCTTGTGCATTAATACCAAAGAGAGCATCTTCAGCAAACCATCCTGTATATCTTTCTTCAGCTGGGGGATTTGACGGCTCAGATCGTACAGCACTGCAGTAAGTGCAGGACTAGACCAGAACAACAGACAAACAATCCAATCAAACCCAAGCATTCATTTGAAAATTACATGACTCAGAGCAGAAACTGAATTGCTAAAAAAGTTCTTTGAAGATGTCCTACCTGAGGCCCACAGCAAGCATAGGCTCAAGCAGTTCTTTGATGTCTGGCTGGATGCTGGGACCCATGGCTCTAGAAAGCATGCTAATACACGTAAACACTGTAGCATCCACCTGCATGGTCTTCTGCCTCCTGCACAGATGAAAGATCAGTAAGTGAAACTGTGCATAGACAGCAACATGGTTTTTTTAATTCACAACTCCACTGAGCAAATTCTACCCATAATATAATTTTAGACTTTTTCAGCCTTTAGGTTTAAGGGACACTGTAATGTAACGTGTAATATGTCACTATTTAATAAATGATACATTTTTTTAAAAATTGTTAGAAACAATAACTGACTTGTGTGCAAAGTCCTTGGGTGGCAGGGCAGCCTTGATGATCTCAAGGATCTTGGAGAGGTACGGCTGGATTTCTGTCCTCACAGCCACAACCAGCAGCCCCAAAGCCTGGAAAGCTGCCGTCCTCTCCTTCTCCTTCTTCAGGCAGCCCAGCAGGTAGCCCATAGTGTCTGACAAATACTGGTCTGCACAGCAAATGAACATCCACATGGCACATAATCTTTTTTTCCTATTAGCTACAACACATTCATTTGAGCAAGCGGTAGAAACCCTGGTAGTGACATTTCAAAAGGTAGCCTGAAAAGTACTAACCATGACCTACTTACATCGCAATAGTAACCATATATAGACCAAATGTGCATAGTGATTGAAAACAATACATGGTTTCAAGTTCTCACATAAAATTTGCACCAAACTGATAATCACATATATGTTAATTAAACCCACCTGTAAAGGTATGCGGCTGGAAGGCAGCCAAGCGTGGAAGCAGGTTGAGGATGGTCATCTGGATCAGAGGATTTTTGCTGGTCCTGTATTTCAGCACCCACCTACACACCTGGATATTTACACAAAAGCTTCCTCAATTATTCAGTCAGATGACTACCACAGGTATGACTTCAACTGCCTAACCTCAAGCAAACTCACAAACACATTTTCTAACACACTATCCAAGTTAGTGCATAGAGAAAACATCAAAGACTGATACCAGCACTCTGACTGTCAAAAAAAAAAAAACGTGAAAATTTTCGTATTTTTCAAAACGTTTAACTCTTTCCCCCATAAAGACAACATTTGATGACATCCCCTGTACCCTTAATGATGACTTTTGACATCAGTATGTATTAAGAAAGCCATGATTTGACAACAATTACAATAGTTTCCATGTTTTTCCAAAGGGGAGCTGCATATGCAGAAACCACCCTCACTAACATCTGATTCCAAACTCAGTCAACAGTATGCACGAAACTATATGTCTAAACTCTGTTCAGTGCATTTATCATGGCAGCTAAAGTCCTTGAGTGCCAAGGATTTTAGTCCAAGGTATTTTCACATTACATTAATATACAATTACACTTTTACAATGCATTTTGTCTGTAGTTAAAACCTACCTGGTCAAATCGCTCCTCCATCAACTCACGGCAGTAGCGACTCTCCACCAGAGAGCTCTTGGCGGGTACCGGTGTGGCCCCAAAGCTGGGGAAGCCTTGAGGTGTGCTGTAGCCCAACAAGCCTAAGAGGGCGTTGGACTGCTGCGGCTGCACCGACTGGAAGCTGGTGAAGGGTGTGATGTGGCGGGGCTTTGTTCCAAACCCCATCAGTTCCTTGCAGTACTTATCGTGGACCAGCTGCTGCTGTGTGATCTCCTCCATCTCCTCGCGCATACGCTGGTGGGAAATAAGACTGTGAGCGGACTGGATTTTACCACTGATAATGTGTCCAAGCTGATATCCGACCTCACCTCTCCCTCCATGCTGCTGATGCGAACCAGCTCATTCAGGATCAGAAGAGCGCCGTGGACCCTGTCGTCACGATTCATCCCTTTCTCTTTGGCCAAAGTCTCATCAAAGCCTTTTTCTGCCTCTTCAAAGGTTTGCTGTCACAGGAAAAAAAAACCCACTCATGTCACCGCTTTAAAAAACAAACAAACTCTCCAATACTTTAATTAGAATAACACATGATTTGCCGGTATACAGTTACATGTCTTACTTTGTACCACTGTGGTTTCTGCATTTCCTTTGTCTCTCTCTGAGTGGTGAGGATGAGACAGGCTCGCAGGGCAGACACAGCACCTTCTCGGATGGCCTGCTTAGGATCCCATACTGCGTAAAAGATGTTGTCAAAGAACGGCTGGACTTGCTGGAAGAAGAAGGTGGGTGCACTCACAGCCAGCTCCCTCAACACCAAAACCTGGAAGAGATTGCAAACGAAAGTAATGCAGGCGTGCACTGCTCCACATTTTTTATTTTACCAAAATACACCTGAGAAACCTGAAATCTTCTTTTTCAACGATCTGTTCGCCAAAACAAAATCCACATATGATCCTAAAATAGCTTGACATAAAATTTTGACTGTCGCTGTTTGAATTCTGAAGCAACTATAAGCTGGGAATGTCCTGTATGTAGTTATGTTACGTTGCTTGTTTAAATGTGTAGGTGTGCCCTGCTTTCTCTCCTTGTTTTAGGTACTGTCCCTTTCATTTGACTCCACTGCAGTGTCTATGGTGCGTACCATTTGAAGCTGCAAATCGAAATTTCAGATTTCCCAAATGGTGTTTTCAACTGGAATGCCCTCTGAAGCTGGACTTCCAACTCAGCTGTAGCCAGACGGGCGGGGCTGAGATAGATTTTGGTCGCCCGACCGGAGATATCGCTAGCCCCGGGACATCGGGCTAGCAATTTTGCGAGCCCTGGAAAGTCTGCACAGCCTCACCAACCCCGACTTCACAATCCAGGATAGCGACAGTGCATGTAAATAATAGTAAAACTGTAAATCTTGTCAGCTGTACTGCCACTGCAATGTATTTGTGACTCGTTAGATAAGCGGAGCACTGACCACACTGTGATGCTACTGATATATGGATGGCTCCATCTTGCTAAGGAGCAAAACAGATCCCATTTTTCCTTACTTTTTCAATTTTACTGCTGGAACACATTCCACTTGGGAGTGAAATCACTGATCTCTTTACACAACCAATCCTATGTGTGTTCTTCTGACCATTTACTCCTACGTAGTGCATTTTGATCACTTAAATTTTTTTAGCTTGTAGGATTTGTTGTTTTTTTCTTTCGTTTTGGCACAGCTCAACTATGAATTTTAGTTTTTTTATTGCCAATTTGGTCTCCCCGTACTCTTTTACAAATATTTCCCAACAACATCATGTGGACATTCTCGGGAAAGTAACAAGGTTTAATATTCTACAGCCACTAGAAATGGGAAAATGGTAATTGCATAATAAGCTAAATAAAACATAGAAAAAGGCAAGCACATTCTCTCATTTTCTAATTTTGCAGCGTTCAGGATTTTTCTGGACTATGAGTGTGATGCCCCAGCCAATAATAACAGTGTCTGGGGTCGGTACTCTATAAAAACATAGAGACCGGGTTGCATCAACATCTTGTCAAGCTTCTCTGCTTTCAGGTTTTGCTGACGCCACAGCTGGGCGACACCCACCCACACGCACACAGAACAGAGCAAAGAGGAAATCAGAACAAGAATGTGCTGATATTTGGGGTATGAGAGTGCATATGAAGTAGTACTTGTGCCTTCAACCCAAAACACACTAGAGGAACTTTCAACACTGCCTTCACTACAGCAATAGATAAAGTTATTACAGCTCCCAACGTGCCCACATTTCCAGCAAATGTAAACACCACCAATATGTGGTTTTATTTGAACAGCAAACACCACAGTGACTGTTGTCTGCTAGTGACTTACTGCAGCATGGCGTCTCCCTTCATTTCTGTCGGCTCCCAACCACTCCAGGGCTCTCTTCACTTCAAACTCCACATACTCAGCCGTAAAGGTGTCCCCCGCCATAGAAAGGTGGCCCATAGCTTTAGAGGCCATCTCCATCACCACGGGGTCGCTGGAAGGGAGCAGGTTGCGGAGGTAGTTGGCGAATCGACTGATCCTGGTGGCATTGCCTCCTTCAACTCCAATTAGACTCACTGATGAAAACAATAATCATTTTTATAGTGATAGAAACTAAGAGATCTTAAATAAGTCCAAAATTGACAGCACTTAAAAACATAACAATTTTAACAACGTTTTATTAATGCTTACCTATGGCAAGAATCCCTCCTTTCTTTTCATTCACATCAGAGCTGGACACCAGCTCAAATATGTGGTGGTTCAACTCATCGTAGAACGTAGTAGCTTCATCTTGGCTTAACTGTGGGACAAGACCAGTGTCAAAAAGTATGGAAACAGGAAGGAATTGATGACATGAATTTGTACCATGATATGACAAAGAGGGGGGAAAAGGAGAGGAAAATGCTTCCTAATATTGTTTCATAAGTCACTACATAACATTTACAACTGAACTGATTTGGGGATTCATGTCTACTTGTGAAACTCTCCAACTAGTGGGCAACAATCTTGATTAAGAATCCAGTATACTAAGTGGTTTTCCAATGAGTTTTTTAATTATGCACATATAGCTTATTGCTGTTACCTCTCTGAGTTCTGTAGTCACATAGTGTTGCAGGTCTTTGGCAGATTTTGCTCGTGTGTCTTCATTTCGACTCTTCAGTCCACTGACAAACTGCTGCAGCACAGTGGCTGTGCCTGATATGATCACCATTTGGACGGCCTAATCTGCATGGGGGAGGGCGACATATGTGGTTTCAATGCAACATTCCGGGTTATTAAACAACCAGTATCTAAAAACAACAACAAGGTAAACAGTACACATGGAAAGAAGGAATGCAAGCGCTAATCTGATAAAATACCAGGTTAATGTTGTTAACTCACATTGGTCCCAGCTAGCTAACGTGCCTGGTTAGCTAATAAAACAAGCTGCAAGGCTTGCTAGTTATTAGGAAATATACATCAGACTTCTTTACACAACTAATACAAAACCGGAGACGCCCGGGTAGTTGCAGTGTAATAGGTGAAATCAGAGCCTCATGAGTGTTTCGTGCTTGTTATGATTAGCTCGAGCTAGTGCTAATGTTAAGCTATTTCCCGTGACAACCGAATAGCAAGGAGGCAAAGTCGCTTTGTAGCACTTACGTGTTTGTATTACAATGCCGAACACTTAACTGCTATTCGATTTATCCGGAATATCTCTCATTGTACGTCTACCTGGCCAACACTGCGCAAGGTTGGCTAGCTGAGGTATCTGTGATGAATTAGCTCGAGTTAGCGATACACACGGAACTTCACAAGCGTCAAGTTGCGCAGTCTGCGCTGAGCTGAGCGCAACTCACACGTCCTTGAGTGTAGTTTCCAGAGCCAGTCGTCTTTTTATGTTAATGTTTTTTGAGGCCCAATACTCTAGTTACCTCAACATTTTTACTCCAGTATTCTTTTAAAATTAAAATAATTTTAATAATTATTATTATTAAAATTACTTATAATTTTACAGTTTTATAGTTTGTGCTCTTCCCCTGACTAAATGCAATTAATCTGGTGTACTACAGGCAGACATAATCTCATGGTGTAGCTACTTAATAACAATAATGATAGTCGTACGCTTTAGTTCACCATGAGTACAAAGCAGCCTTGTAAGAACATTTATGGCTCCATAACGGAGGCCTTTCATACATTT